TTGATCTCCGCTCGTTTTCTGTTTACAATTCAGCCTTTCACTCCCAGACTTACAGAAAGTAACCTGTTTGGTTGCAATTTACTCAGAAACTATTAACTGTATGTGTATCCACGTTGTACAACTCAAAAATGACTTACAACAAAATCCACTCTTAAACCTCCTAATACAGAAACCTGAACAGTCATTTCACCAGCTCCGCCAGAGGCCTCTCCCCGGGAGGGAAGCCAGTGTGCTGATCTGCCAAGTGTTGTCAGCATTGAACCAGGAGATTCCTCCCGAGGCCTGGAAAACCAGGACTGCGCCTTCGAACAAGCTGACATTCTACGAGACAAAGAAGGAAGTGTTCATTTCCAGCTCCCTGTAGGAAGCTGGCTAAGCTCGGCCTTCGGCTCCTTGGAGGCGGCGGTGTGTGTCAGCTGTACCTGCAGCCCAGCGCCCCACGGGCTCTTCCTCCAGCCAGTGCTCAGCGAGTGGCCCAGGAGGCAGCCAGCAGGGACGGAGGTCTCAGGAACTGTCAGAAAGCGGCGCTGAGGCAATGCCGGGAGCCAGGAGCTCCCTGGAGGCCGTCAGAGTGACAGTGGCGGGGGATTAGACATACAAGCACAGGGAGAGGAGACCGACCTGGGGGTTATGTGTAAGGACCGTGGGGTTGGGGGTTTGGCTCAGACCCCAAATTCACTGATGACTCAGAATGAAAAATACTCCAAGTTTTCAGCTGAAACAGAAACCTCCCAAACTCTGAGAAACCCAACTCAGCTAACGCGGTCAGAATTCGCTGCAAGTTCTGGATCGTTCCCGTCACAGAACTGTAGCGCAGTCTGGGGTAAGTGAAATCTGGGTTGTGTAGATCATTAAATTCACTCTTAGACTATCTTTGAAACAAAACGCAATGGAAGCAACTAAAGCTGCCCATTAACTTCCCTAGCCCCGACCATGGTCTGTCACTGACAGTCTCCCCTGACTGACCAGCACTCCAGGTTTGAAAGCTGAGGGTGGAATTTTTGCTAAAGAGCGTTCGGCCCAAACCCCACACCCTCCTCAGGTCTTTGCCCGCAGGGTGGGGCTGGGCCTGCTTTGTCCTGTCTAAAGCTGCGAGACAGGGAACCGGGTGTGTCTGGGCCACAGATGTTTATTTGGCTGCTTTTGGCTTTTTAATTCCTGATCAGTGTTTAAAGAAATTGCCCTTGAAAGTGTATGTTCTTCAGCGGCGGCCTCTGGGCGGCTGCTCCCTGGCCCTGCGCAGTCCTGAGACCAGCTGGCCTGAGCCTCTGGGCCGTGCCTGGACCAGAGGGTCCCCCACCCCTAAGGTCCTCTCCAGCTCCTGTGAAAGGGGCCGGGAGGGGCGCCACCTTGGTCTACAGCAACCACTGTCTGCACGTTTTCAGGCTAGTTTGGACACGGCCTCCTCCGTTTTCCTGCACAGGACGCGGAGCCCAGCCGCGGTATAATGGAGGAGCCCGAGCTCACGTTAGTGAGCACCAGTGACATCAGTATTACGGAAATGGATTTTTCAAACTTAACCCTAGAAGAGAGAGGAAATGAGGCAAGATGCTCTCAGGTAAGTTCCCGCTCATTCCCACACCTCACACTGCGACCCGCGGCCAAGGAGTAGGGAAAACACGGACTCCTCCGTGTAGACGCAGATGCAGTGGACACCTGCAGGGGGCTCTGCACACAGGCTGGCAGCGAGGAGGGCTACCCGGAGCGCAGCTTCCACCCCCAACAGCCCGGGGCCTCATGAGCGCGCGCCCGTCCCGCCCCTGAGCAGCAGCAGTGGAGGTCGCCTCCCAAACACTGCAGCTCAGACGGGCTCTGCAGACACGGCCAGCGTGGCCCGAGCTAGAGCCTCCCTTATTGAGGACTTTGCAAGCGCGGTCGCTGACTGAACAAACCGCAGTGGGAGGGTGCAAGCGCGCGAGTGGCCACCGGCAGACTGGCTTGTTGTGCCCCAGCGCCCTGGAGTCCACACCCTCGTCTCCCAGAGCGCAAGAGCCGTGCGGGTGGCACTAGGGGCCTCTTCAGGGCGCAGTTGTGATCGCCGCAGCTGCCGCTCACGGGCCAAGAAAGCAAAGGTTTTGTTAAAACCAGGCGGAGGACGGGCAGCTGCCCGGCTACAGGGGCGCTTTCCCTGCCAATAAACTCGTGCTTCATGGACACGCGTCTAGGTTCACCTGTGACTCTCTCACAATTAGGTGAGTGAATTTCTGCCTCTCGTATCAGAAACGGAAGCCTCACACCACCCCCCTGTGTCGGAGCCTCCTTTGGGGAAGCCAGCGGCGTTGGCAGGTGCGCCAGGGACCCGGCCCAGCTCCAGGCCGCAGGGGGCGCAGGGGGCCCGTTCAGGGAGGTGACGCTGTCCCGCCTCTTCCCAACAGAGACCCCGCCAGCCTTCATGGCTGCGCCAGGGAGCTTACAAGAGGCATTTGTGAAGAGGAAGAAAAAATTTATAGAGCGGTCCTTGCAGAGGCAAGAAGAAATAAGAAAGAAAGTTCGGGTCTCAGGAAATTCTCAGAGCAGCACCACTGCAGGTCTGTTCTCCCAGCCAGTCTCCTCGTCCAGCGCACCCCTCCCCCCAGCCGGCCTCCTCACTGCTGTTCTCTGCGCAGGCCCTCTGCGCGCAAGCAAAGGCAGAGCTGCACTCGGCGAGGAGTGGAGGAGCGCAGCATCCGCCGAGCCCCGGACGGCGCTCCGGTACGTGGGGGCACTGGTCACTGCGCCTGGGGGGCCCTCGCCCTCCTCAGGTCACACCCGACATCTTTATTTATAGATACAGCCAGTTAGCCGAGGTCAAACAGCAGAGGAAGAAAAAGCAAGCAGGAAGCTCATGCCCATAACAGAGCAAGGGCAAGAGAGTTTCACAAGTAAAACGCAGCCCAGCCCCGTTCTCGCGTGCGAGGCAAACTGCAGCTGGAGCTGACGCTACTTATTCCCTCCACAGAAAACACTAGAGAGACTGCGAGCCAAAAATGCAACACCGACTTCCCTGCAAAGTCTAGCGGCTTCTTTATTATGTGTAACAGGCAAAACCAATCAATAAATTTGTGCAGAATTTCACTTTGGTTACTCCCATCATTTAGTTCCTCCAGTTCCGATCATCCTCTTCAAAGTATCTCTGAAGGACAGAGGCGCTGGTTACGCGTGGGAGACAGCCCGCGGCCCCAAGACCATGTCTCTCCTCGGGGAGGCACGGCACTAGTGAGTGCGCGCTGCATCCCGTGGAGAGGTCAATTTTCGGTCACAGCGTCAAGAGCTCCTGGTTTGAGTCCCAAAAGCCCTCTTTGAAATGACCCGCATGAAGTCACCTTTTCCACACTCTTACGTACCTCTCACGAGAGCACACCTGCACGCGTCAGCCCTGCAACAGGAATATCAGAGGTCACGAGCTGTTGCGATGGCGCCGCGGTAACCTGGAACCGCATCCGCCAGGGCTTACCCCACGGTGAAAATCGGCCTGGTCTTAACAGAATGTCCCCTGTAGGCGGAATGCTAACCGAATAGCAAGAACCAAACCTACTGGGATTTTTTTTTAAGGTCATGTCCACAGCAAATAAGAAAACTGCATTCTAAAAGCCTTGGTAATGACCCTCACGTCCCCTGGCCTAGAAGGAAAGTGACTTTACTTGCCTTGACAGTTGCTTTTGTTGGGCTCCCGCTGTCCTGCTGAAGAGACCAGGCCCCTGAGGGCCCTCCAGATAGCCACCGCGCAGAAGACAGCCCGGTTCAGACGCAGCGCGAGACCCAGGCAGTTCGCTGCAATAAGCATTGCTCAATCTAGGTCAACAAAACATCCTAAATTAAGGCTAAGGGAAACATTTCCGTTTAACATGCGACTTCACGGGCTATGCGAATGCAGAAGCAGCTGCTGCTATCGGGACCAGCGCGTCTCGGTGACAGTGCCCCGAGCGACTGTGAAATACCGCCAGCCCCGCAAGGCAGACGTTCAGAAAGGCCGTTTCACTCAGCCTGCTCGGAGCAGTTGAACACATGCCCATCATCATCACATCGCGCATGGCTGCTGGCAGCCCCCGGGGCCGCGAGGACGGGGCTTTCCCAGGGGTTGTTTGGATGTATGGTGGTAACATCTTACCTCCAGTCCCTGGATCCAATCCCCTCAAGCAGTGGGAGTTACGGTCCTAGGAATTGCAGGAAAGTCAGTCAGCGCCTCTTCTCTACACTCACACTGACCCCCCCCCCCGTTTGCAGACGATAGCAAAAATGTCACAGGTCTCATTGTCACCACTGCAATCAGCTTACTGTGATGGAAGCATAACCTGATCTCCATGTGGCCACATCAACGACTCCTGGACACCATGAGCAAGGGTGCCCCTTCTCATCTCGAATGGGGCCTGCAGACATGCCATGCCCCGCCCTGCCCCGCCCCACCGCTGGCTGACCATGACAATGAAGGAAGCAGCTAGGAGGGAAATGAAGAGCCTTACTCTTTCAGGTCAGCAGAGGCATCTGCCTGCCTCTCAGCTTCAGAAGTCCTAGAAAATAGGCAGCATTAGTTCCTATTGCATCTTCTACCCAACTTGTCAGTATGAGCAACTATCAGAAATGATGTATCAATAGAAATACCAGGTTTTACATGCACAAAGCCAAGAAAACCAACGATGCCAGATACTGACTTGCTATTGCACTGGCCCTTTGAACCCCCAGCAGGAAGGCTGCTGAGTGCAGATACCAAGCAGTGCAGCTGTGATCCTGGGGGCGTGTGACCTTGACTCCTGCCCAGGGAGGCAACCACATTAACTACATCTTAAACAGCAAGCGGCTCCTCTTCATCTCAACGCTGTCTTCATCTAACCAAGGCAGATTACTGAAACATGCACCACAACCACCATGATCATGGCTGGTCAAACTGCTCTTAGGGACGGTTCTTTTAAAAACACAACATCCCTTTGCAGTCAACACACTTGAGTATGTTACTAGGAACAAGCCATACAGAAGAATAAGGACACAAAAAGGGGGACTTTCCCTGAGTAAGCCCGAGCAGCCACTGCATTTCTTCCAGTTCTGCATTAATGTAACTGCTCACAATTTCATTTTTCATAACCTTTGAATGTAATACATCGCATCAATTAAATATTCCACTTACCTCAAAGCACTCATGAGGAACCCAAGTCACTCCTATGGATAAAATACCAAATAAAGGATTAAGGATGGTAACAGTAACTAGTAACTAAAAGATGCTTTTAGCTCTATCAGAATGACGCTTTAGTTCATGTCTGTGTCACCCAGCAGTTGAACAGGTACATTCATCATCTGGTTCGTCACACAGCCCAGCAATGCCCCCAGGCAGCTCAACATACCCGACTGGCACAGCCTGCGGCAGCAGCGCTCCCAGGATGGCTAATACCTAAGGGAGAAAAAGCCAACTGTTAGATCTTACAGGTTTTTAAAAATCAACTGTCTTGTAGTTCTTCCCACAGATCTGACAAATAGCCCTGTGAGCAAAGCAACCACATGTTACTCTATGAGGCGTTTCCAACGATACAGGCCTACAGCAAAGCCCCATCGGGATAGACCTCAACCAAGGCCACGGCTTATGTCTTGAGTCCCTCTTCCATTTTATTACATTTTCTTTTTTTTTTTTTTAAGATTTATTTATTTATACAAGCACTGGGTACAGTCAGAAGCCGGGAGGGTGAAAGAATTCACCAGAGCCAGAGCGGGGAGCAGAACAGCTGACAAAATACACTGCTGAGGGGAGCAGTGGGTGTGGCAGGAGAGGTCTGCGCGCCATGTGGGACCCTCACCAGCGGCCGGGGATTGAATGGGGACTGAACAGGCGCTGCAGAGGCTGCGGGCAGCTTCACAGCCCAGCACTCAACTGCTGCACCACTGGGGAGGCCCTTATTACATTTTCTTAATTTAGATCGTGTTTTATGTGTAAGTCATGCTGTTTGTCCAAGGTGGCAATATTCAAACTATTTCCACACCCAGTTCAACTGGTACAGTGTAAACATTCAAATGGGTGGATCTAGATTCATTTTCTGAAGTCAATCTTACAAGTTCTTCCAGTAATGAAATGTCTTTCAGTCTGTAGGATTTAGTCATCTGACAATTTACTCTACTTAGAGTTGGTCCAAAAACTCACCAGAAGACATCTTTAGGTTAGTCCAGATACTTCTCAAGATCTAAACCTAAAAAACAGAAGCAGTCCTTGTTCCACACGTTGGTATCGAAAAGAGAATGCAAAATTCCCTACATTCTTTTTAAATGATCCCTTCTAGCCTTGGAAGTAACCTTTATTTTTGATCTATTTTAGGTATCATGTTCCTTCTTACATGTATCAAAACTCATACTGAACAATGAGTTCTGGGTTGCAAAAGAGGATTTATTCTTTGCACCTGTCTCAAAGTCTTTGTCCACACATCAAACAAAAACAAACACAAGTGCTAGGCTAGAATGCAACGTCCTATGTGACAATTGGCAGTGGTAGTCGAAGTCCAGTTTTTTATGATGAGAAAAAAATGTGCCTCCTCCCCATTATTGATGTTTTCCCAAGATTACAATTTCTGAACTTTTTGACTCATTGCTCAAGTCACACCTTTAAACTTTGTCAAGGATAACGAAACATGATTTCTTTCAAAATCTCAAATTTTCAACACATTTAATAAGCACTTTAATTGCCTCTCTTATCTCCTTAGATTAAAACTTCAAGAATTATCACTAAGCTGGTGCGTGTACCCGCATCATGTTTCCTTCCTGCGTGGAGAGCTGCCTTCTCTACTGATCACTGCTCTCTGTCTGCGTTTCCGTGTTAGACACAGCTGCTGCCTCAGCGCACTCCTCTTGTTCTTCTACATATACCTCCATCTTCTTTGGCAATGCAGAGCTTATTATGAAATAATCCTCCTCCTGCATAGAAACCAACATTGGCATTAAAAATCATTCATTTACTTATTACAGAATCTGAGCGCTAGTGTTGAAATAACCTAGATTTGTCTGTTGAAAATTTCCTCACTTCTCATCACCTACCCAAAATAGTCCATTTTTATTCCAGTATCAACTGCACCAAATGCATTGAGCCTTAATAAAATTGAATCTAGAGTAATTACTGCTTGAAAAATAATCAGTACCAATGCTGCCCTCCCTCCTAAAATGAGATGGGATAAAAAGGTCACTTACCACCAATTCAATGTCACATTCATCATCATCTTCAACAGTTGTTTCATCTTCATCTTCTGCTCTGTAACATTAAAATTAGTCCAATGTCAAATTGTCCATGACCCAGTTAGTCACACCTGCAACACCCAGTACTCCCCAGGGCCTGGCTTACGCTGACTCAATAGGAGAAATAGGCCCGTCGTCGTCCAAATATTTGTATCTTCGACTATCAAGATCATCTTTTTCTAAATCTTCATCAACGTTCATTTGCTTCAAGGATTCCTTGAGGTGGTGTTCATACTTTAGTTTTTCAAGGTAGTTGAAAAATCCTCTTGCCACAGCTTGCTATGGACATCAAACACATGTGAAGTCATGACATTGCAAAATAATTTTTCACTGTGACTCAGATGCCTCTTCCAAAATGGCCAAATCTTGATGTCACTGGTCTGCACATGCGCAATGTATCAATGTGCCAACTAATGGTCATAAGGAGATTTCACTGTCCTATCTAGCAAGTCATCAAACCGAGTTAGGGTGATGCCAAGAAAAATTGAAGCCCAGGGCCTCCCCTGGTGGCGCAGTGGTTTAACGCGGGGCTGCCCGCAGCCTCTGCAGCACCAGTTTGATCCCCGGCCACCGGCGAGGGTCCCACGTGGTATGACAGACCTCTCCTGCCACCTGCTGCTCCCCTCAGCAGTGAATTTCGTCCATCTGCCTGTTTTGTTCCCCTTTCTGACTCTGGTGAATTCTCTCACCCTCCCACGCTTCTGACTGTACCCAGTGCTTGTATAAATAAAAAAAATATTTTTTTTTTTTTTTAAAAAAATTGAAGCCCAAATCTTACGCTAAAGTCATTTAAATCTCGGAAGTGACAGAATTCCATGGAATCAAAGTATCAATAACAAACACTTGAGTCTCCTACTAATTTCTGTAAAAGGAAACCTGAAGTCACTGGGCACCAACAGCAGGCGGGGCCTGGCTTGGATCACTGCACACCCCGGCAGTTGTGTGGGCACCGGGGATGTTACTAGACCGGCCAGGCCGTGAGCAGGAAGCGCGTGCACAGCCAGGGAGCGCGCCCGCTGCAGGCCACCGAGCCAGCCACGCGAGGGCTGCACTCCTCAGCCCGGAAGTCTGAGCTCAGGGTCCTTGACAGGAACTCGAATTTTAATAGTGGCCAATAAATCTGAAGACATTTAGCAATGTGTGCAGCCCCATAGAGAAAATAATTACCTCAAAGGTTAAGATTTTTCTCCAGGGCAGCGGCTTCCTTCCATTCTCTGACTCCAGGAACGGGAACCCGGAGCCTTTGTCTTTGATCTGCTGCCTCTTGATCCGCGAGCCTCTGCTCCTGCTGCCTTTGGGCCTCCCCCGGGGTCTTCCTGTGGGCTTGTATTTCCTCTTTCTACGTTTTTTCCTATTTTTAAATCTTTCAAAAATTGCTTTTAATGTCAACGGTCTCGGCTCGAAAGAGTCGTCACTGGATGAGTCTCTCGCTCGCGCCTTCTCAGGCGGACGAAGCCCCCTCCCCGCGGGCTTCCTCTGCGGCCGCTCCGGCGAGCGCGGGGCGCGCGGGGCCCCCACAGGCCGCTGCCCGACGAGCTCTCCCTGGAAAACAGGACAATCCCCGCTGCGCCCGCGTCCGCCCGGGGGTCCCCCCGCGGCCGTGCTCGCGTCCAGCCGGCGCCCGGAGCGGCCCCTCCGCCCGCACGACGGCGGCGCCCCCGCCCCGCCCCGCCCGCGCCCCCCGCGCCCCAGGCCCCCCGCGCCCAGGGCCCCCCGCGCCCCAGGGCCCGCGCCGCGCACCCGCCGCTGTCCGCGCCGCCGCCGGGGGGCGCCGGGGCCGGGGCGCCGGGGCCGTCCCGGGGGCCGCCCTCCCTGCCCCCGGCGGGCGGAGGCTCCGCGGGCCCAGCCGCGCCCCGGCCCCCGCGCCCCGGCCCCCCGCGCCCCGTGTCCGCAGCAGCGAGGCCAGCGCGCAGAAAGGACGCGCCCGCCGCGCGGCGCCGCTAAGAGTGGGCCCCGGTCTCGCGATAACAGGAGGTCCCGGAAGGGCGGGGCTGCGCGGGGCGGGGCTGCGCGGGGCGGGGCGGGGCTGCGCGGGGACGGGGCTCCGCGGGGCGGGGCTGCGCGGGGGCGGGGCTGCGCGGGGCGGGGCTGCGCGGGGCGGGGCGGGGCTGCGGGGGGCGGGGCTTCGCGGGGTGGGGCGGGGCTGCGCGGGGACGGGGCTGCGCGGGGTGGGGCGGGGCTGCGCGGGGCGGGGCGGGGCTGCGCGGGGTGGGACGGGGCTGCGCGGGGCGGGGCGGGGCTGCGCGGGGACGGGGCTGCGCGGGGCGGGGCGGGGCTGCGCGGGGGGCGGGGCTGCGCGGGGCGGGGCGGGGCTGCGCGGGGGCGGGGCGAGCCGGCCGAGGGACGCTGGCGGGGTTCGGGGCCCGCGTCGCGGGTGAGTGGAGGTCGGAGGCGCGAACCAGCCGGGCCCGGCCGTCCCCCCGCGCTCCTGGGCCTGCGGGGCGCGCCGGGACTCCGGGGGGCGGCTGGGGCCGGGGGGAGGGAAAGGGGTGTCCGGGGTGCGCGGCTGGAGGCGGTCGCGGCGAGGGGGGCCGGGGGCGCGGCTGGGGCGGGTCGGGGTCCGGGGCGCGGCCGGGGGCGCGGCGGGCACCCCTGAAGGCCCAGCGCGGGGCGGGCCGGGGGCCGCTGGGCGAGCGCCGGGCCTGGCGGACCCGCCCCCGCCCGTCGGGGCCGAGTGGACGCGCCCGCAGTGGAGGGACTGGCCGCCCGCCGCCGCCTGCAGGGCCCGGGGCAGGCGGGAGAGAACGGCCCCCAACGGGCCCGCCCCGCCCCAGAGAGCCGCCCGCAGACCGGCCTCCACGTGGTCCGCCGCCCCCCACACACCACACACACCACACACCACACATACACTCACAGCACACACCACAGCACACACACCACACACACCACACTCACCACACACACCACACACACCACACTCACCACACACACCACACTCACCACACACACCACACACACCACACTCACCACACACACCACACTCACCACACACACCACACTCACCACACTCACCACACACACCACACTCACCACACACACCACACTCACCACACACACCACACTCACCACACACACCACACACATCACCACACACACCACACTCACCACACACACCACACTCACCACACTCACCACACTCACCACACACACCACACTCACCACACACACCACACTCACCACACACACCACACTCACCACACTCACCACACACACCACACACATCACCACACACACCACACTCACCACACACACCACACTCACCACACACACCACACTCACCACACTCACCACACTCACCACACTCACCACACACACCACACTCACCACACTCACCACACTCACCACACACACCACACTCACCACACACACCACACACACCACACTCACCACACACACCACACTCACCACACACACCACACTCACCACACACACCACACTCACCACACTCACCACACACACCACACTCACCACACTCACCACACTCACCACACACACCACACTCACCACACACACCACACTCACCACACTCACCACACTCACCACACACACCACACACACCACACTCACCACACACACCACACACACCACACACACCACACTCACCACACTCACCACACACACCACACTCACCACACTCACCACACACACCACACTCACCACACACACCACACTCACCACACTCACCACACTCACCACACACTCATCACACACATTACACACCGCACACACCACACACACACACCGCAGACACGCGTGCAGCCGCTGCCCTGCAGGCGGCGCAGCTGTGGAGAAGGGCTTCAGGTCTGTTTTAATGAGGAAGGAAACGCAGACCCTCTGTCGGGGAGCCGGCCTTGGGCTCGGGCGAGGATTCTCGTCACCCCGCCCTGCAGAAGCGTCCAGGGCCTCGCACAGCAGATGCCATGTTCTCAGTCGGTGCCCGCCGGATTCTGAGAGACTTGGGTAGCGCCGGCATGTGGGAAGCTGGGTCTCCCGTCCACCTGCAGCTGGCTCAGAAGTCAGCGTGCAAGGGCCTCCCTGGCTCCCGCGGGGGGTCCCCTTCAAAAGCCTGTGTGAGATGGTCCCCCCCCCCGCCCCCGCCCCGGCCAGAGTGTGCCCCTTCACTCGCTGCGGAGCGGGCGCAGCGGGGGAGCCTCAGGTGAACAGGGTGTTCCATTAACAGCCTCCACGAGGACGCTGCGTGCCCTGCGCCTGCTGGTCCAGGGCTCGCTGCACCCCCGCGCTCGGCCGGGGAGGGGACCTCCCACCTCGTGCCACCTTCATTTGGCGCCTTCGTTTGGGCTTTCATTTTATCCCCTCTCCCTGCCTGCGTGCTCACCCCCGCCCTGGCGGTAAGAGACGGCCCGCGCCCGCTCCTGCTCTGTGCCCGCGTGTCCTGGCACAGTCGCCAGTTATTCTGCTTAGGGCCTCAAAATAAGGAAACGTTAAAGCTGTTTACCAAGCCAGGCACAAAATACACATCGTCTTTACCAGGGTTTTAAAATAAAAGTACTGCCCCCCCCACCCCATCCCCCCACGGTGGCGCAGCGCTTGAGCACCGCGCTGTGGAGCTGCCCGCAGCCTCTGCAGCGCTGCTTAGATCCCCCCCCTGCCAGGGAGAACCCCACAGGGCGCACAGACCTCTCCTGCCGCGCCCGCGGCTCCCCGGCTCCCCTCAGCACTGTCTTCCCTCCGTCTGCCTGCTCTGCTCCCCGCTCTGGCTCTGGTGAATCCTCTCACCCTCCCGCGCTTCTGACCTGTGCCCCAGTTCTTGTATAAAAGAAATCAATCTTTAAAAAAAATGAAAGCTCTGAGGTGAAGGTCACAAGCTGCTCAGCTGTGTCTGTTGCTGCCAGGACTCGTTTTCTTTGGCAAACGTGATGATCTAAGAAGCGTGTGTAATACGTGGCCTCGCTGTCAAGCGCAGGACGACACAATCTGCGGTCGGGGACCTGCCTGTGCTGCTCTGCACCCCCACATCCTGCTGATTCACAGACCTTTAGAGCTAACCAGGCTTTTCCGCTTTTCCACCAGCCGTCAGACCGCCCTGTCCAGATATACCGGAGCGATTGCCCTCTGGCCGGCCTCTCCCCTGGCCTGCCGCGGGCACACAGCAGGGGAGCGGGGGGCGTGTTCACCTGGACTAGTAAACACCGAGGCCGCCCTTTGCCCCGCAGGAGTGAGCTCGAAGGCCCGTGCCTGCGCCCCGAGACCGTGCGAGCAGCCTGCAGCGTCTTCCCTGCGCCCCTCGCCGCCGGGGACCATGGCCTGCCCCGAGTTCGCCTTCCACGTGCCAAGCCTGCAGGAGCTCGCCCGAGGTGAGCTGAGCCGCTACCTGGGCAGGGGTTTCATTGTTCTAGGGAGAGAACTAAAGCCGAAAAGTAAACAAGACCGTGGGATCGTCTTTCAAGACGGAACTCGCTTCCCTTCTCGCTGTCTGGGCCGCTTCCATCAGGCCCCGGGTCTGCCCCCCAACAATCTAAAGTATTTGAGGATTTTCCGCAAGATTCCACCTCTGCAGCCTGACAGCCAAGAGAGGGCGATACCTCAGCGCGCCTGACGCCCCAGGCGCCGCCCGGTTTTGCATCGTTGGCTTCTCTGGCAGGTGCTCCTTCCCTCAGCCCCCTGGTTCCCAAGATACCCCCCCCCCCGCCCCCGCCGCCCAGCGGCCGCCTCAGCCTTCTCAGTCTGTGGTTTGTATTTCACTTCATCCCAGCGAGACTTTCCAGAAGCCTCCCACGGTAAAGGCGGAGGGACACGGATGACAAAACCCTCAGCAGGGACGGAGAATGAAGCTGCAAGTAAAACTCAAAGCTCCTGTCAGGAAACTGACCCTCGCCGGGCAGCCTTGGGCTCTGCTCTGAGGGACCCCCCTTTCTCTCAATGCCTCTGTCCCGGCTGGTCCTCTGACCCGAGGAGTTCGCGGCCCTGAGTTTCGCGTCCCGTCTTCCCTGAGCCGGGCCGTGCGGTGGACAGTCCATGGCGAGCGGGCCCGTCCTCCGGGGCCTCTCCGTGACCCCGCTCCATGCTGCACCCGCTCCTGCCCTTCCTGCATGCGCACCCCTGCGTCTGCCCGGCAGGAGGGCCGCCCCCGCCAGCTTGTTTGCGCTTTACGGAAGGTCTTAGGAGAACTTGGTCCCTCGTCGCTGGTTAAAAATCCAATTTCTCTACATTTCCGCGAAGTGAAGCTCACCCTGTTTATAAATCTGCCGGTGTCTGTCCGGAGGCCGTGTCCGGCGGGCCGGCCTGGCCCCGTGTGGCGGGGGTGGGGGCTGCGGCCGGATGGAGCCCAGCTCTCACTCACCTGGCCTGGGGCCCCGGGCGCACTCTGCTCGCGAGCCTGCTCCCCCCGAGACCGTTTGTTCCTCGCTTTCTCGCGCCGTGTCCCGAACAGCAGGCCCATGGCGGGCACAGGCCACCGGCCGCCCCGCGCTGCCCCCCACTCACCGCCCTCCCGCCTGCCGCCCGCGCCGGGCCGCCCTGGCTCCTGTCTCCGGAGAGACCTGTCTGTGAAGGAGCGTCTGTCGGCGCCCGGCGGACGCCCTCCCGCATCTGCGCCTCTGGTCCCGCGTCTCGTCCGTAAACGGCACTGGGTCGCGGCGAGCGGGGCCGCTTTCGGGCAGCTTGCTTCTCCACAGCGCAGGTTGGGGGAGCTTCTCCCCAAAGGGCAGGTGGTGCCCCTGAGTCAGTGTGCTCCACGGTCCCAGCCCCCGGCCCGAGGGGCACCGGGCATTCTGCTGCTCAGGCCGCGTCCTCGCGGCCCCGTGCGTCTGCATCTCGTCACCTTCACTCACACCCTGCCCCCCCGGAAAGAACCTGGGACCTGGGTTTAGTGTGGGAATGTGGCGCAGAAATGGGGAGACTGGGTGGTGGTGGCAGGTTTCCCCGAAAACTCAGCGGCCCCCGTCTCTAGTCCTGCAGAAGGGGCTGGAGGAGAACTTCGCCGACGTCCAGGTCTCCGTGGTCGACTGCCCGGACCTGACCCAGGAGCCGTTTGCCTTCCCGGCGAAAGGTCAGTGATCCAGCCCCAGCGCTGCACCTCGGCCCGCGTCTTTCTGAACCGGAATTGCTCTCAGAACCCCTGCAGAGCGGGCGCCGCCGACCGGGAGTCCGAAGGCAACTTGCTGGGCAGAGCGTCCGCTGGAGGTGCCGAGGGTGGCGGCCGAGCCTGAGTCTGTTTCTGTCTCCCGTGGACACACTCGTCCACACCCCGCCACAGCGGGTCCGTGGCCCTTGCAGGCTGAGCGCCTGGCCGGGCCTGGCTGCAGCCTCGTGCCCCAGAGTGCCCGGGAGCCCCTGGAGCTCACAGGCGAGGCCCTGGGTTCCAGAGCACCCTGAAACTGTGCCACACTTGCATACACCCCTGCTTTTTTTTTTCAAGATTTATTTTATTTATTTATGCTATAAGAGCTGGGGTGCAGGCCAGAGGTGCGGGGGGTGAGAGGATCCACCAGAGACAGAGTGGGGAGCAGAACAGGTGGATCCACTGAAATCCACTGCTGAGGGGAGCCGCGGGGAGACAGGAGAGGTCTGCTGTGCCCTGTGGGTAGCTCCCTGGCCGGGGATGGACTCAGGCTGCAGTGGCTGGTGATAGCTTGATAGTGCTGAGTCTTAACCCCTGAGACCCCAGGGAGGCCCCCACTCCCCCAATTTTTAAACTAAAGGCTCCAAGGTCCCCCTCGTCTGCACACTGTTGTCAGTGTGATGAGGGTCGGGAGATGTTTTCTAGCATTTTCCTTTAATTTGTCAGGTGGTGTGGGCTGTATAGCCACCCTGAGTCATCCACTGTACTTGTCTGTGGCCTGTGAGAAGAACAAACCAAGACAAGCTCTCGGTGCTTCCTGCGGGGCGGCGAGGCCAGGGCCATGGCTAGGAAGCTGGGGTGCACCCTGGGGGGCTGGCTGGGTGCTCCCGAGGCCCCCAAGCTGCGGGTCGCCTGGGCTTGCACACACTTGCCTTTCTCAGCAGTGGTTTTCAAGTGTTTGAAACAAACGCCCAACTCCCATGTCAGGGAACCAGCCGAGGGCCCGCTCCCGCTCCTCACGGAGGCCGCGGGCCGGGCATGTTTGCTCACGCGCGCTTGAGTTTAACAGTAGCGTGCCCCGAAACAGGCCAGCGTGCCCTGGCGCTCTGGCCCTAGTGGACATTGTGTTTTGCAGGCATCTGCGGGAAGACGCGGATCGCCGAGGTGGGCGGCGTGCCCTACCTGCTGCCACTGGTGAACAGGAGCAGGGTGAGCTGGGCCTCCCCGCGCGGGCGCCGGCCGGGCCTGGTCTCTGTGCCTGGGGCGCGCTGGCCAGTCGCGCAAGGACATGCCCGTCGGTTCGGTGACGAGAGGCAGCCCGGGGCGGCTGCAGCCGGGGCCTGAGCGGCATCTCCTCCCATCCAGGTCTACGATCTCAATCGGATTGCCAAGGACATCAAGCTCCCTGGGGCCTTTATCCTCGGTGCGGGCGCAGGCCCCTTCCACACGCTTGGCTTCAATTCTGAGGTGAGCTCAGTGGGGCTTTGTCTCACTGCCCGTCCCAAGGCCGCCGCCCCACGGCCCCATGCTTGGCCGTGGGGTGCCATGTACTGGCCCCCGCCTGCTCAGATTTCTCGGGGTTACCTGGTTTAGGGGAGACCAGGCACCACCACGGACTGTGGGCGCACTGGGCTGTGAAAGAGGGGGGCTTGTGTCAGCGTGTGCGTAGCTGCATGTCTTCGTCCCTGGCGTGAGGCAGCTTTGTGGAGGGGATGGAGTGTTTGGCCACCTGGTCGGCTCCGCCTCTCAGGTCCTCACAGACCTCCCGGGAGAAGCTCGATCCTGAGCAGGAGCGAGGGCTCCTCCGTCGGCCACGCTCCCTCAGCCTCCTCAGGTGACCGCCGCCCGCAGTCACACCGGTTCTTCTGCAGAAACGTTAATAAAAGTTGCCTAGAACTCAGGACAGAGACGTGTAAACTCTCAAAGTAGACATGTTCAAGCAAACGTTGCAGCATTGCAGAAACGCTGAGCAATGGCGGAGCGTGGCTGTTACCGGATTCTCTCCTCTTTGCAGTTCATGCCCATTGTCCAGACGGAAGGCGGACACCGGCCTCCCGTGAACGGAAGCTACTTTGCCCACATCAACCCCGCAGACGGAGGGTGCCTCCTGGAGAAGTACAACGAGAAACACCGCGACTTCGGGTGTGCGCTGCTGGCTAACCTTTTTGCCAGCGAGGGCCAACCTGGAAAGGTGATTTGGTTCATAAAAACACCATGTTCTCCAGAAGTTCTCGAGTAGCTACCGTGGGAACTCTCATTGCCACAAATACGGTTTTCTTAAGAAAATCCAAGGCTACCTGAGTCAGAGATCTTAGAACAACTCAGTGAGCAAAGACTGAGAGTCCAGAAAGCATAAGCTGTGTGTGCCAGCCTCGCGGCACATGGCTTCCTGAGATGTGCTGTGTGGCACCCGCACGCACTCTGGGCACAACGTTATCTTATTGATAGGTCGGGGCGCCTCTACTCACGTCTGGGCACGCTGGGCCCTCAGGTGTTCGGGGCATGTCTCAGCCCCCCTGAAACGCTGCTGCGTAGGCGACAGACATGCCTCTGTCCTCATAGGTCATCGAGGTGAGAGCCAAAAGGAGGACCGGAAAGCTGAACTTCGTGTCCTGCATGAGACAGACGCTGGAGAAACACTACGGGGATAAGCCTGTGGGGCTGGGCGGCACCTTCTTGGTCCAGAAGGGCAGAGTGAAGACCCACATCATGGTGAGCCACGCGGGTGTGCGCTCTGGGCCTGGGGTTTCTGGTGCAGATCAGTCTGTGGAGACGTGCTAGACAAGTCCTCTTCTTGTGACCGAGTTGCTTCAAAGTCTTAGTGACAAGCTTTCCCACTGTGAGGTGATCGCCACGAAAGCCCTTAGCCCAGGTCCATCTGGTAGAACTTCCTTTCCAGTGTTGGCTTTTTTTTTTTTAAGATTTATTTACCCATACAAGAGCTGGGGTATAGACCAGAGTTGAGGGGGTTCACCAGAGACAGAGTGGGAAGCAGAACAGGCAGACTGACTGAAATACACTGCTGAGGGGAGCAGCTGGGAGACAGGAGAGGTCTGCTGCACCATGAGGGTAGCTCCCTGGCCAGGGATTGAACTCGTGCAGCAGTGGCTGTGGATTGCTTCATAGGTTGCGACTTAACCCCTGCGCACCAGGGAGGCCCCTACAGTGTTTTTTTGTTTTGTTTTGTTTTTGAGCACTGGGTACAGTCAGAAGCGCGGGAGGATGAGAGAATTCACCAGAGCCAGAGCGGGGAGCAGAACAGGCAGACGGACGAAGTACACTGCTGAGGGGAGCAGCGGGCGGCAGGAGAGGTCTGCGCGCCATGTGGGACCCTCCCCGGTGGCCAGGGATCGAACCGGCGCTGCAGAGGCTGCTGGCAGCTTCGCAGCCCAGCGCTCAACCGCTGCGCCACCAAGGGAGGCCCTGCAGTGTTTGCTTTTAAGGTCAAGATAGAGGTGAGGCTGAGACTCCAGACTGATTCTTGTTTTCATTGCCAGGATCCCGAATTCAGCCCCTAGACAGTGCCGTTACGATGACTGTGATTTTGGGGAAAGGACTCGGGAAAAGTGTGACATTATGGGCTAAGTATATACATGTATAAGACGCTCAGGACAGAATCCTGCACGAAGCCTGGGACGTTCAGAACCTCAGGAATAAGGTTAAGTGAACAAGTAGATGAATGATGTACTAAGGTGATTACAACTTAGTTTCCTGTTTATTTTGCTGGTCAAGTCAGAAAGCCTGTCTTGATGTTCTGTCCTGGTGGCTTTCAGTGGCGAGTCAGCTGGCCCTGCGCGGGAGATCCAGCTGTGAGAGTGCTTACTTCCTCCGATTATTAACAGGGATTTCCAGATAAATCTCTGTGTAAGCACCTAATGGTTGAAGGATTTTTCTTCAAGTCCATGCACTTTGCTCCTAGCTGTAGCCACCCCAGGCAGTGGCATCCCCAGAACTTGCTCCTCTTGAACCTGGCAGTCTGCACTGCGCGGCCAGCATCTGCCACCTCCCCGGCTCGCCACGCGCCAGCCACCGTCTCCTCTTTCCCCGAGCTGGGTCCTCAGGCCCCGCGTGAGCACCTTCCACCTGCCCGGGCCACCCCGGTGCAGACAGCGGGTTGTTCTCTAGGGCTCCGAGACCCTCCTTTTGTCCTGCACGTGTGTGCACATGCAGACATGTGGCCCAACCCGCCATGCGCGCACGTCTTCGCCCCTCGCCCGTCCCCGAGCACCCAGAAGGCGCCCTGCGGGGCGTGAGCCACTGCC